GAACAATCCAATATTTAGATGTGGGTATCCTTTTGTTGAACGGTCTGTTTAAAATTAATTGAAGCATCAGACTAAAAAAGCTTTTAAAAATAACCGAATATTTCGATTACGGTCAAAATATAATATTTGTAAATCTGACTCTGAAAGAGTCAGTGCCTCACCAGCCATGAACCTCACCGCACGTCACTGATAGACATCTACGTTTTTTGTGCCCCACCACTTTTGTACATATAAAAACGCCACTGCTAACATCATCCTGGACCCGTCTCTACTTGATGCACAAAGAAATATCAAATATGGGGCGAAGCCTGCGAGCTAGTTCAGGCAGTCAACTTGAGCACCAATGATATATTAACACGTGACGCACCTCGTCCCTCTTACAACCAACCAAACACATTCTCCTAAACATGCCGCTCTATTTAAGCTGCCAGGTCTTCCTGCCTCTGCCTCGCTGCTGCTGCTGCTGCTGCTGCTGCTGCTGCTGCTGCTGCTGTGTTCACTTGCTATTGCTGCGTTCATGTTCCTGCTGCTGTGTTTCATGTTGATGCTGCTCGCCTGCCCCCCCACCACCCCAGCTCCCCCCCAGCTTCCACCTGTAGGCTCGGGGGATAGTTATCTAATCATCACTCAATGTTCTAGGTTAATCTGTGGAGTGATGAGGCCCGAGCCTAGACGTCAAAATCAAACTATATGCTGCTTCTAATAAACATATTAAGAAACACGTGAGTTGTCTGACTGAAATCTGATAAAACTCACTTGACTCTGATTAAAACAACAAACACAGATATGTTTTTTAAAAAGTCAGATTATTCTTTAGGGCATTTCTGAAACATGACAATCAATCTGAACGTTGGATACGGTCAGTCTTTATTTGATTAAGCATGAGGCACTGGGCCTGATTCTATTACCTTTTTCATGAAAACCTGATGAAGCACTTTATTTGAAATGGATTTGAATACTCAGAGATTGTCACCCTGTACACAAATGTAAACCAGTGACAGATATTTGAGTTGACAGCACTTTATCTGTTTGGGCAGTGTGTTACCTGTGCAGGGCCCAAACCTCCAGTCCAGGTCGAAGTGTCTGAGGGTCCACAGCTCCTCCTCCTCCTGCAGCGTCGCCGCTCCAGACTCTGCTCCAAGGACAGAGTCAGAGAGAGGTTATGTGAAATATATCTGATCTCACATCCAAGTACCAGATTCATCAAACACAGCAATGAAATAGGTAGATATTAATCAATGTAAACAAAAGTTAAAAATAAAAATCTAATATTTTTTTCCTAAAACACTGCTATATTTAATATAAACTGGACATCAGGTTTTCATCTCCATAAAGGCTACGGTCACATTGTGAATTGTATAGGACACACCAACAGTATGCAGGTATCAGTCGATAGAGCTACAAACTAAAGCTGACATCAAACTAAAATAGAAAGAGATGTATAGGAAAATGTGAATGTGTTTTTCAGTCTTTCTGTTTCACTGAGCGGGAATTATGAACACACACACCCTTTACCTTGGTGTGTCGGAGGAGGTGAAAGGGGTCTCTTGGCTTTTCTCGCCCCTCTCTTTGCTTTCTTCACCACCTTGAATGAATCGGTTATCAGCCCATGCTTGGTTGTCATGGTGACTGATCTGAAACACAGGTGTTTGGATGTTTTTGACCAGATTATTTCCTTTATTGTGAATTGCATCAGTTCTTCTCTTATACTTAGGAAAGTGTTCTTCCAAATTGTAGTTAGTACCAGTTTTTAGCTCCACAGAGTACTTCTGCCAAAAAGTCATTCAACCACATTTTAAATGAACTTTAATGCAAATGAATTGACCTCTAGTATCAACTCTTTGTGCATGGACACTACCCTGTATATTTCACACTTCATATAGACAAACATATTACACGTCTGAGCTGGTCACACATGGTACACCTTTTTATTTGAATGTATAAAGCAGCCTTTGGTTGTCAAGTCTTATGTTAAAATCAAATGATTATTAATGATTAAATAAGTCATGTTATTTATTCCTGCAGGGTTTAGCTATTCTTTTTGACCTTTCCTCATTACCATTAACCTACATGATGTTTAGCAGGAAACACACTATCACTAACATACATATACAGCTTCCATTATGTTTGTTATTGCTTATAAATAGCATTTGATACACATCTTCACACTTATGTCTCTGCAAACGTACAGGTTACACGAGGAGGTGGAGAAGTACTCAGATCTTGTACTTGAGTAAAAGTGGAAGTACCAGAGTGTAGGAATACTCTGTTACAGTAAAAGTCCTGCATTCAAAATGTTCCTCAAGTCAAAGTAGAAAAGTATTAAAAGTAGAAAGTATTCTCATCAAATATAGTGAAAGTAGCGACAGTAAAAGTAGTCGTTGTGCAGATTGGTCCGTTTCAGAATAATATATATGATATGTTTTATAATGATTGATCATGAAAGTGTTCTCAAAGCTGGTAAAGGTGCAGCTAGTTTGAATGACTTTGTATACTGCAGGGTAGCTTGTGGATTTACTCCAGGTGGAACTAAAGTCTGATTCAACACTTGGTTATATTTCACATCATTCATCCACATCTGTAAAGTAACTGAAGTTACAAAAAAAAAAAGTAAAGAACCTCAAAAGTGTACTTAAATGTAAGTATAATAATAGTAATAATAGTAATAACTGCTGCTTTGTGAACAGGTCGATGCTGACACTCCTTGCTTCTTCACCTGAATCATGTCGTTATTTTGAAAGGACGGTCAAATGCAGTTATACCAACTTTACACTACTCTTCAAACAATGTTATTCCATTACATTTTAATCGAGTTATCCTATTCCAGACAGATAAGTGTCCCAGTATGCTAATCTTACCTATGGAAAGTGAAAGCTGCAATAAAAGATCTTACGTGTCATATTACGCTATAATAACGTTGTAATAACCGTCCTGTTTCAGCAGGTTTCTGTTATCAGTCTGCTGAACTCACCTTAGTATTTGGACAATAAAAGATTAGATGTGTTCTACCATCCAATCTGTACAAAAGACAAACCAAAACAATGACGACGTGTTCTTCTTCTGTCTCTTCCGGGGTGCGGTACCGGGCCCTGCAGTGCCGCCTAACGGTATCTGCCCGCTACTACAGGGAATCCCTATCCATTCATATGATTCCACTATTGACTCTATTAGAGTGGTACCTGTCCTGAAGTGAAATATTTAGGAATAACATTATCTAAAAATTTATCAGGAGAGAAGATCTTAATATTTGTAACCGTATCACAGATATGAAGAAATCTCTCAGTCGTTGGTTAACTAGAGATCTTACTATTTTTGGCGTTTTTCTTACTAAAGCAGAAGGTATATCTAAACTTATTTATCCATGCCACTCATGTTTTGTCTCTTCGGCTAATATTAAAAAAGCCAATACTTACAATAAGTGCGTTCGTCCAACAAAATACAACTTGAAGAAAACAGAATCATATAAGTACATCAGGCTTCATAGAGCAAAAACATTTCAAGTGCTACTCAACTGGCTTTAGATAAGCCAGTCCTTTATTGGTATAAAAGTGCTTCGTTAATCGTTCTAACGCTCGAAGTGGAGTCGAAAGAGATGAGTTTTCAGTTTGCGCCGGAAGATGTGCAAGCTATCTGCCGTCCTGATGTCAATGGGGAGCTCATTCCACCATCCTGGAGCCAGGATAGCAAACCCACGTGTTTTCGCCGTTGGGAACTTGGGTCCCCCTCGCAGCGAGGATGCAGCGAGTCGTTTGGCTGATGCAGAACGTAGTGCACGCGCTGGGGTGTACGGTTTAACCATGTCCTGGATGTACGAAGGGCCAGATCCATTCGCAGCATGGTAAGCAAGTACCAGTGTCTTGAAGTGGATTCTAGCCGTTACTGGAAGCCAGTGAAGGCAGCGGAGGAGCGGAGTGGTGTGGGAAAATGTAGGAAGGTTGAAGACCAGACGAGCCGCTGCATTCTGGATGAGCTGCAGAGGTCGGATGGCACATGCAGGTAGACCAGCCAGGAGGGAGTTGCAGTAGTCTAGGCGTGAGGTGACGAGAGCCTGGACCAGAACCTGAGTCGCTTTCTGTGTCAGCTGGGGACGTATCTTCCTGATGTTGTAAAGCGTGTATCTGCAGCAACGGGTTGTAGTAGCGATGTTTGCAGTGAAGGACAGGTTGTTATCTAGGGTCACACCCAGATTCCTTGCAGTCATTTCTCCGCCATCCCAACGTAGTAGCCCGAAAAACGTTTACCCATTTAAACAGTCGTGGTAGATACCTTGTTTGTTTTAAACATCATAAATACAAAACAATGAATACTTACAGGTTGTGTACCCGAATCTCCCGCTGGGGCAAAGAAAGTAGGAACAGCATCGTTCTTCAGTGTCCTACGCTGTACATATCCGGCATGAATCGCTGGAAGGTTTGGGAAGCTTTGTTTTTGTGAAATGCTGGCAGAGGGTGTGGCCTCTGGGTATCATCAGAGTGCCCAGGAAGTAAACAATGGAAAATGAGAAATCTCCAAGGAGGCGTTTTGGGCAGGTCTACAGGGTGTACTTTGAGGGTTTTGACTCTGCAGACCGTTTACATGCATAAAAACCTTCATAACACACAAGGGGACGGGTAATAACCGGAAAAGCATGACATGGGAGCTTTAAGACTATCATAGTTAACGTTAGCTAGTCACACTTAATTTCAAGACACTGGAATCGTTATTAATGTTGAACAAATAAAACTTTAAAAGCACTTCCACATTACTCACACTCCGTGCGTTGTCGTTCATATTCATGTCTCCTACAACCTGGTCTCACCGCAGTGCGTGGTGGAGTCACGAACTTTGCTACATTTACGTGTCTGCACCACGCAAACAACGCCAATGTAAAGTGAATGAGGCTCCTTTGTCGTGGTGCACACACGCATTTCTATAACGTCCAGCAGTGAGCTTTTGTTCTATACAACGTTTTTAAAATCTACTTTATAGCTTGTAGTAACTCACTTCTTCTTTTATTTTATTTGTATTCATAATAATTTTATTTTCGTCAGAATGTATTATGGTGCATTAGTTACGAATTTTTGTTCTCAAAAAACAGTGCATTGTGTTAATACAACTGTGATTTTTATTAAATTAGTTAGTTTTAAAACCTGTTAAGCCCAAAGCCCCCCTTTTTTTCTTCACGACACTGTGTCTCAGGGCATCTTAATATTTAAGGGTGAATTATGGGGGGGCTTGTGTGGTGGAACATTACGGGACATAATTCACTGTGGTATTTAGTGTGTTGCCTAATGGAAAATAAAGTGTGGAGTTCCATATGTAATAAACCGCCTCCGACTCCCATTCATCGGCTCTACAACGCAGACCATATTACTCCCACAAACACGCAGCGCATTGTTTCTGATACAGCACATAGCTTGACATGTTATTTCTTGAGTGTTTAACCGCTAGAACAGTGCCATTATATGTATTATATATATAACAACTTTACTCTAAGTGCTTCCTGCAGACATTCTGCTGAATACACAGACACACAGCTGCGAGAGGGGATTCAGTTAGACCAGGGGTTCCCAACCTTTTTTCCCAAGAGCCCCCCCAAATGACTCCTGGTATTTTGTTAAAGGAGGATAAAGCGTAATTAAGGAGCACTATTGGAGTGACTTAATTCATTTGGATTCCCGCTGTATGAAGAAATGAAAGGGACGGCGCGGAAGTGGAAAACAATTCACAAAGGGGATTAACTGTTTAAAACACATGCTCAAAGTAAACCGGATTTTGACGATGTGTTTATGTGGATTAAAAAGTCGTAAATAATCTACAAAATTGAGGAGACCGATCTGATCGAGCAACTGTGACGAATAATCCAACTGAAACCGGCATGGACAATGACTATGCTTTAAAAAATGCGCTTATCCAGACAAGCCCGGTTTGGACACTTTACGGGCAGAAGAAACATTTCTATTAAAGAAAGAATTATAAATGTCTGTCTTTTTATGCCTTAGCTACTAACTTGAATTTTTATTAAAATTAATTAATCAATTATTTTTTATATTTTATTGTAATAGAGACAAGGCCTTTAGCGACAATCATGTATTGCCTACAATTAATATGTAAAAAAATAAAAAAATAAAGTCTAAATATGATATTTGGCCTCAAATCATCTGAGGCCTGGCGCCCCCCCTGCGCCCCCCAGGTTGGGAACCACTGAGCTAGACGACTGTATACACGGAGACGATAGGTTGGGACGTGTCATGTGTGCCACATTTCGCCAATGACGTCATAGGAGCGAAATCCTGGATCTGCTCGTTTGCACTCCCGTTTTTTTTATTTTTCAGAGATGTGGGTAAGGAGGAAAAGAGAGAGGGTTGTATTTTCTGAAACTGTGTGAGTCTCCTTACACCCCAGGGACACATATTTATGTATAAGACGTCAAAAAGTGCATTTTGCATAATAGGTCCCCCTTAATTAAAGTACAAGTATCTAAAAATGTTACTTGAGTACAGTACTTGAGTCAATTTACTTATTATTTCCAACCTCTGCTGGGAAATATAGAAGTAGTAGAAGCAGTAGTATAGTAGAAGTATAGTGAAGTGTATGAGTCCCTTTCATTATAAGGAGCCATATATCTTCACCCTTAATGTATTGCTTAGGACCCAAGGGAGGGCAGTGTTGTCTTCAAGTCATTTATATTTAGATAAGTTTAGAGAACCACAGGCCGCTTCTCTAAAGTTTGTGTCATCCAGAGAGTATCTTGTGTTGACATAAAGACATAATCAGAGTGCAGAAAATGTAGAGTTTGATGCTTTTTCATAACTCATTCATTTATATGCAGTAAAGACATGGAAGCCACTTTTTCTAAATCCAGTGTGAACTATAGGTTAGTATACACATACTAACTATGTATACTAATGTTAATGTCCTGAACCTGATATTGTACGTGCTGTATTACAATGACACCAGACAGCAGAACAACATTCAATGATGCTTCCTTCCGTTTGTTAACAAGGGCCATACCACTTCTTTAATAATGGTGAGTGAGAAATGTATCACCGTGTGAGTCACTGTTCTTTAAAAATGGAGGAAGAAGACTGCATATAATCAAATATTACCCTAATAAAGCCTAGACAGAATCATAGATTGTACAACACTCTTTCAAGTAGCAGTAGAGAAACATGCACTGAATCAAGTTGACCCTAATATTTTATTATTTCAATTTATATCAGTGCTTTCAACTAAGCTAATACAATCATGGGTAATTTGTTGACATAATACATTTAATTAAAGTCAACATTCAGTGTGTTCTGTTTTCATATATAATTCCAATCTAGGTGACATCATCATGGTACATTCATAATATTGCAGTGGAATTTAAAGGTAGGGTAAGAATGGAGAAACCAGTGAAATTCGAGTGCACTAGAATTTGAAAGTACGCAGCCGAAAAAAATCTGCCCCTTCCTTCAGACTTCCTCACAGAGCCCCTCCTCCAACACACACGAATGCAGCACATGACCAATGAGGGCATGAGATAAGTTTGATTTGTGCACGAGATGGAAGGCTGACAGGCAGGTAGGCCATCCAGTTACTTTAGCCGGGCCGGCTCAGATGATTGGTCGTGCTTTTTACAGTGCTACGGCTTCCACAGATGAAATGTTGTTTTGTATTTATTGTCAAAGCATTTAAGATATTCATTGCTATCGGGATGTTAAGAGCATTCCATGGAATATAACAAAAAGTGTTTCTGAAGTGAATTACCTACCCACCTTTAAGTGGCTGCAAATAGTCCAGACACAAGCACCAGCACTGTGTTGTCTCTGATTTATTTTTATAACATAAGCAGTTTGAGGACAATAATAGCAGTTATATGTATAATGATTGTTTTTTTCTCCATGATAATCCATCGAGAGTGAAGGCCCCACTCTTCACCACTTACACCCATTAGACAGGGAGAAGAAGACATTTACTTTACTTTCATTTGGTTACCCATTACCACAAAGTGGTTCGGGGACATGATCACTGTAATGCCATAATCTTTCTAATGCTTCAAACTTATGGATGGATGTACTCTTTAGGATAGAATTAAGGTGATGGTGGTGATGGAAGTTAACCTAATGATGATGATGATGGGTC